TGAGTTCCCGTGCTGATCAACATATAGGGGGATGTGGACTGAAAAGGGGAAGCGCTTGAAGGAAGTGTCTGACTCTTGGTAGACATTGTTGCGACACAGCCGGAGGCACACTGACACTTCAACGTCAAAACAAACATTGAAAGGTTACAATGTAACCGGCAGAAGATTCCTTCCACTTCCTGTCTGTCCCGGACTTCATCCCCAATCATTATACAATCAATATCTCGCTGAAATACGTATGTGAATGTATCAGCCTAAAGTAGCTGTAAACCCGAACTGGACGAGGTTCAGTTTGCTCTGTGCGCCGAGTACCATTAAAGGAGAACTATGAGGTGAGTGATTATCACTGATCCTCATAGTTGGCGCCGACCTGTGACAATGGGACTGTCACAGGTCGGCTCAGTAGATCGGGAGGTGAGCGAACACATACCGGCGTTCGCTCACTTCTCGATCATCTTCCTGCAGTGAACGGTGACTGTCACGGCTCCCTGCGGGGATTCCCCTCCCCCCCCCCTCCTCCGATCCTCCACCACTGAGTGGCGGAACGGACGGGGGAGGGGGCGGGTACAGCTGCCTCTAGATAGGCAGAGCCAGCTGTCACTCACGCAGCTGGGCGGATCTCGACAGTAATGTCTGGTCTGTCCCGGCTGTGGCGGTCTCAGTATACCGCGAGCTGTAGTCCCCGATATACTGAGCTTAGGGTAACGGGAGGACGCAAGTTGGTGTCCTCCCGTGACCCTGGGGAGAACTACGGGGAAAAACACTGACCCCATAGTTATCCTTTTAAAGTCCTTGTTTCCTTTTTTTAAATCCTTTTTGTATAGACGCCATATGTTCTGAATTTGTCAGGACGGTCCCGGATCTCGGCCCTCCTTCCCACTGATGCCCTGTGCTGGGCCCCGTCCCGGGATCACAGCATCAACCTACTGCATATGCACAATTGGGGTCCTTTATCACTATAGCGTTGTGCGAAACACACAATACCGTGCACAACGCAGCCAGTGTGTGATACTGGGGGCTGGGTGCGTTACTCTTCATTTTAATGGCACCCTAATGCACCTCCCAGTGACTGTGCGCTACAGTGTAATGCATGGTACAGCAATACAGTGCGTTGTGCTGAAACAAAAGTAGCGCATTGCTGCTGGGAGGTGCGTTGGGGTGCCATTCAAATGAATAGGCAATGCGCCTAGTCCACATTACCACGAGCTAGGTGTGCTGTGCGAGAGGGCCTGTTCACACTGTAGCTGTGCTCTTACTTAAAAAGGCGGGATCAACCTGTAAAGTGTTCCTGATGGGTGGGCACCCATATGTGGAGGGCGGGATCAACCTGTAAAGTGTTCCTGATGGGTGGGCACCCATATGTGGAGGGCGGGATCAACCTGTAAAGTGTTCCTGATGGGTGGACACCCATATGAGGAGGGCGGGATCAACCTGTAAAGTGTTCCTGATGGGTGGACACCCATATGAGGAGGGCGGGATCAACCTGTAAAGTGTTCCTGATGATGGGTGGACACTCATATTTGAAAGGTGGGCTCAACCTGTAAAGGCACGGGTATGACTCCCAGAGGCACACTGTAAAGTGTTCCTGATGGGTGTACACCCATTATTTGGAGGGCGGGATTAACCTGGACACCCATATGTGGAGGGCGGGATCAACCTGTAAAGTGTTCCTGATGGGTGGACACCCGTATGCAGGGTCTGGGTTGGACTAACCTGTTAGGTGGGCGTGATTTGGGTACACCCACCTGGAAAGGGAGAGGATAAAATGTGGAACATGGGCGGGGTTACCAGTGTTCCGGGATCCGGCAACATAATGTTGGCCCGGGATCTCCTTGGACACCTTTTGGTCTGAGCCGGGAAAGGCGGCGCTCTGTTTTGTACCTGACGAGCTCGTCCACATTAACAATTCACATTCTTCCCCGTAGAAGAGGTTACCCAGAATCCTTTGCTGACTAATGTCCACTCGTATTCCTGGCAGCAGCGCTGCGGTTCGCTCTTCTCTTTTTTTGCAACAATTGTGATACCAACATGGAGGTGATGAAAGTGGGAAAGGTTGCCACATTTTTAATGCTTAAAGGGAACTTAAAAACTCCAAAATCGTTCCAACTACCTGAAAATGGTTCCTGTTTCTGTGCAGCTTCCGTCAGCTGTTATTTTACATATTATATTATTATATGAATGGGCCTTAGGGAGTCATGCCCGTGCCTTAGATCGTCATGCTTGTGCCTCCGGGAGTCATGCCTGTGCTTTAGATCGTCATGCTTGTGCCTCCGGGAGTCATGCCCGTGCCTTGGATCATCATGCTTGTGCCTCCGGGAGTCATGCTGGTGCCTTGGATCATCATGCTTGTGCCTCCGGGAGTCATGCCTGTGCCTTAGGGAGTCATGCCTGTGCCTTAGATCGTCATGCTTGTGCCTCCGGGAGTCATGCCCGTGCCTTCAGGCCACTGCTGCCAAGCAAAACTGTGTGAAAAGCTCTAAATGGAAGCTGTTCAAGAAACCAAGAAAGGGCGCAGAGAACACTGGCTAGCTAACGAAGTTGTAATGAAGACTAAAGGTGGTGGCACTTACGCGTGATTGCCAGGATCTGGAGATGGATACAAGAAGAGGGGACTTACACAGGCCTGTCCATTGCCGACACCACAGCGATCTCCCTGCCTCTCCTCCACACCGCACAGACCCCCAACGGCACTTCGGACGAAGTCCCCTCTTCTTGTCTACACTCTCCCGTGGATGTACCTCTCGGATCAGCACATCGACTACAGTCGGCACCACACCACGAGTGCCCCGATCCTCCATACCGGCCGTCCATCTCCAGATCCTGGCAATCACGCGTAAGTGCCACCACCTTTAGTCTTCATTACAACTTCGTTAGCTAGCCAGTGTTCTCTGCGCCCTTTCTTGGTTTCTTGAACATTTGCATTCACAGGTTCTCCTCCTGTTTTCCAGGGCTGCATACACGCCTCCAAGCTAACTCTTTGCCCATCCGAGAGCGCTGTTTATATGTTTTTTCTGTCTAAATGGAAGCTGTGGGTCCAGGACTGAATGCTGCTTCCGGGCCAGTGATGCTGCACCCATTCAGCTTCACCTCAAGTGATGTCATTGTGTCAGAACTGAGCACAGAGTGTCAGCTTCTATCTGAGGCTTCTCACATGGGTGTTGTGACCGATCCCCTTTAATAGGAGCTCCTCTAATTGTATGAGAGTTTACAAACGTTGATTTAAAGGGACAGTAATCACAAGAAAGGTATTGAGTCTCGGACGAGGCGATACGTGTACAGGATGATTTATTTACCCTGAACTCTGCCACACGAGATTGGCCGGGCCACACCCACAGACCATTAGCCACACCCACAGGTCATTAGCCACACCCACAGACTATACCATCCCAGTCTGTCCTCACCACTAGAGGGAACCCCTGTGAGTTGTACCACCGAGGGGGGAGTATTACAACCTACACAGACCGAGAGCTGACTTGGGGGGTTCATAGGAGCCAATGGGAAGCTCTAGATTCCGATGATTGTTCCAAATCTGCCAGGAAATATTATGTAACAGATATACAGTGGCTTGCAAAAGTATTGACCCCCCCCTTGGTATTTTTCCTGTTTTGTTGAATTACAACCTGGAATTAAACTGGCTTGATATATTCTGCAGATTATTCCATCAATGACCTCTCTAGAGATCTGCAGAACATTGCTCCGTCCCATCTCCCTCCTGACAGATACATATTGATATATTCTGCAGATTATTCCATCACTGACCCCTCTAGAGATCTGCAGAACATTGCTCCGTCCCATCTCCCCCTGACAGATACATATTGATATATTCTGCAGATTATTCCACCACTGACCTCTCTAGAGACCTGCAGAACATTGCTCCGTCCCATCTTCCTCCTGACAGATACATATTGATATATTCTGCAGATTATTCCACCACTGACCTCTCTAGAGATCTGCAGAGCATTGCTCCGTCCCATCTCCCTCCTGACAGATACATATTGATATATTCTGCAGATTATTCCATCACTGACCCCTCTAGAGATCTTCAGAACATTGCTCCGTCCCATCTCCCCCCTGACAGATAATAT